TTAAAATTTTAATGTGTGGTTGAAATTTTACACTTAGAATGAATTAGCTGAGCTGTCTAGATGATCAAGTTTTATAGTTATCCAAAGCACCACAGTCAGGAACTAGTTGGACATATACACATCTTCTTTTCTCCATCAAGCCCATCAGGGAGCTGATGCTGGCCATGGCAATGTCTCAGGGCTTTTCTGCAGCTTTGAAAAACTGGACTAAACAGAACATAGTAACAATTATTTCCTTTAGAAGGAACAGAAGCCTCTGGTCACCATGGTCCCATTACTCTCCATACCTTGCTAAGCACGAGTCTGAGAATAAAGCTTGTTGGCCCATACATCTACAATGCTTGATGGGCATGTCTGTTGTTGAAGTTTCTCTGCTGTATTTTGGATTACTTCTGAATGCCTGTCTCTTAAAACTCTATGGTCATCTGACTTGGATTCCCCAGTAGCTGAGAGACCATAGGCCCTTCCCATCTGAATGTGTTACCTTGTCTGAAGGTACTTTATCCTGGAAAGCATGTCAAGATGTCCTGCAGAGTACTGCTCAATCACATCTTTCACATCATAAGGCCTCAAAGTCTCCTTGAATTTTTTTTTATACAGACGGAATTGTAGAATTCTGTAAGGCAAAGGCATTTGTTCACCATGGGCAGACAGTGAAGGACACCAGAATGCACATCCAGCAAACACCAGAGGCAGTGGGAGAAGAAGGAAGGGAAAGCTCCTGGATGGCAGAGTTCTGGCCTTGGGTTCTGGTTCTGTCCCTTTGCATCGATTAGGCTGGCTACGGCCACTCCTTCAATCATTTGAATAATTGCAAAATTGAAGTAATGACAACTTTTGGACAGCTGTTGAACATTCATCACATAAGCGACACTAAGTGCCATGCTTTATGACAGGTCTTCTAATCAATTTGCAGAAGAACAGTCACGGCTCTGAGAATGCCATGTCTCCCAGGTCAGGATGTCAGAGCTGGACCAGAGCCAGGCATGCGTGTCAACAAAGCTCTTGGTGGCTGTCACTGCCACACTGCTTTCAATGGCTGATGCTTGTCCTCTTCAATAGTTGCTTGTTAAATTTCTCAATTCAATTGTGTCAGAATAACTGACAGAAATGACTTAGGAAGGAATGGTTTATTTTCACTCCTAGTTTTATGTGAATGTTTGGTGGGGAAGGTGTCGAGGAGGAAACAGATCTAACTGGTACCATCCAGAGCCTAAGGTGGCTGCGTCACATCACAGACCAGACAACAAAGAGCTCCAGTCAGAGCAGAGATAAATCTATAAATCTTGAAGTGGCATCCCTATACTATTGTCTTAACTTTTCCTAGCTAGGCCCATGCCAACCTTCAAAACAGTATCACCAGGTCTGCAAACGCCTGCACGTTCTACTTTCAAGTCATAACAGTACCTAAGCATAGTATTCTATGTCCCAGCACTTAATAGTGGAGACAGAAGGGTCAAGAGTTCAAGGTCATCCTCAACTATATAGTGAGGTTGAGGTTAATTGGGGTGCACGAGACACAGTCTCAAAATCCACAAACAAACAAAGGAACAAACCAAATCAAACCAGAACAATAGTTTCTAATTCTCTGGCTTTGACCTCCTTAGAAAGGCCCTGTTCTGTGAATTTGTACAGGTTCATTATAACATGGGGACACCTTCACCTCCCCTTTCCTGAAAATCAGTAATGCCACTCTTAAAAGCTACTGTCTTCCGAGGACTCCATCTTTCTGTGCATAGTGCCAATCTAAGCGTAGAGTCAGTCACTCATAGTGTCAGGAGGTCCTGCCCATGCCAGGCCCTTCCAGTTCCCATTGGCACATGTCTCTTGAATGACACAATTCAAGTACATTTTGTCCTAAACCATGGCTGTAGCTTCTGAAGAAAATTTGAACATATTGATCAAATTTACTCACCATGATACAGAATTTTTAACTGTCCTTTACTTAGCTTTCTTTTGAAGTGGAGACACTGAACGGCGGCTCAAAGGTCAAATCCGCCTGTTGCCTGTGTTTGAACAGAATGTTCTAATGGAACTCAGCCCATGCTCCCTCGCTTATGCTGTGTGATGGCAATGCTGAATCTTGAGACAAAGACCTAGGGACCACAAAACCTAAGATGCTGGTTGGGATGGCACTTCAAGATGTATAGATTTATCCCTGCTCTGTCTGGAGCTCTCTGTTTTCTGGTCTGTGATGTGATGCAGCCACCATAGAAAAGGAGTTACCATTTCTTGAATTAAGGCACCTGAAAAATTGGTACAAATTGGTGTGCAGGGATGGGAGCATGGTATAGCTCAGTAGAGCCCCCCCCCCCTCTGGATCAGTTTGATTTCTTTGATGAGATTGATCAGTCTGCAACCAATGCAACAGATGCATTTACCTAACTGCCTTCCTGTCATATCATACATGATGGTGAGGACCACACCAAAGCCTTTGCTGGAGTCCACATCTTACAAAACTATTGTGCTCCCTGGTCTACTGCATTGGAAATCTTGCTGAAAATATTGTAGCTAATTTCTGCTACCCATTAAAGTGAGAGTACATCCATATCCTGCTATATTTTATTTGAGAAGTAGTATGCTCTCTTGACTTTCCTGACCAATTCTGAAGCACACTAGAGCATATTATGGTCTCTTAATCATATAAAAATGTCTATAATTTGTTATCCTGTTAAAAATGCTGATTAAAAGGAATAGACAGATGGATACAGGCAGAAGAAAAGCTATACTGAATGACTTAGGTGAATGTTCAGGAAAAGCTCCATGTCATTACATTGTCCATTCTGACACCCCTCAAAGTAAGTGCTGGTTAAAAACAGAGTTATCCTGGATGGATGTGCTGTCAACAGGTTTAAAGCAACACTGTTTCCTGTGCCAACTGTCTAAAGAAGAATCATTGTACTCATGGTAGTGTTCTCCACAGAGTATGAAGTAGCCACAGGACCTGGCTCAAGGTGACCAGGAAGAAGCTCCTGTCTCCTTCCCAAGCTCCAAGGGCAATTCACCAGCTGTGTCCTATGGAGATGAAGTTGGGGCCCAGTAACGTATGTGTGTGTGTGTGTGGGGGTGTCATTACCTGACAGCTCGGATGGCAGCCTTTAGGGTGGGGATCATGTCTTCAATGAGGAAGTCATTCCCATAGCCCCTGTCTTCTGCCATGGGATCGCCTGTCCCAGCATCTGTGAGGGGGACATATATGTTAATTTAGTCCACCACAAATGGAAAATAACAGAGACCACCGTGGAACCAGAATCTCCAGTATGTATATTAGTCACCCCCCATCTTTGTTCCCACACTGTGGTCCTTAGTTGTGACACCATTTATCCATCCTTAGCATCCCCACTGTGTGGTACAGAAGTTTGAGTAGGTCAGACCTCAGGAGTGGCGGAGAATTCTAGCAGGTAATTCTGGTGAGCTCTGCAGCTGCAGGTGATCACATGAGCGGCAAAAGCACAGGTGTGGTCCTCTGACTCGGACACACCTGAGTTAGAATTCCTGTCCTGTCAGCATCCCTGCTTGTGACCTTACGAGGTCACTTTCTGAGCCTTCTACACCTTGGAGGTTTTAGAGAGGAAGTGCAATGTGATGAATGTCAAGGTTTGGTGGCTTCAGCCATTGAGGACAATATTGTCCTCCTTGTTTTCTCTTCTGTTATGTGACAGAAATACCTGAGGCCATTGCTCCTCTAGCACTTAACACACAGGGTATTTTTTTCTGTTCCCTCTTCTCCATCCCTGGGGGTGCTGGTGTGACTCTTTCCAGAAAGCTCTGCACCTGCCTCTCTGTATTCTTCTAGTTGCCTTCATCATGGCTTCCCTTTCCAGCCACAGTGCAGGTCCTAAGGCTCCTTGGAAAGGTCTGAGCTGGTAGTGATTCTAGCCTAGCTCACTGGGAAGTGTCCTCACTGATGAGTCACGGACTATGTCACTGACGCATCCAGCCCACGAGACACAAATCAAGTGAGGCGTGAAGTTGGTGGAAGGAGGGATGAGAGAGACTGCTTTGTGGAGGCAGGAGCTCTTCAGAGGAGAGAAGGAAAGGTGAGGAAGGAGAAGGGAGGGCCGGGAGAAGACATGGAGAAGCTGAGAGAGCAGGACATTACCTTCAGAACTCTGCCAGAAAGCGTAGGCTTTCATGCGGAAGGCGGTGCGGAAGCGCTCTTTATTGTTTAAGCCCACGGGCTTTGGTTCTTTAGAAGGGCTTTCTTCTATGGCATCTACATTCAGAGGGGTAAATAGCTTTCCTTTAGTATTGCTACCACGAGGATTAGAAAGGCGAACCCGATCCAAGAGACCCAGCTTTTGGCTACAAAATAAGCAAAAGTGAACAATTTTCCTCCTTCAGTGCAGGTTCTCGTAACTTCCCAGCCCTCCGTAAAGACTCACATTCTCTCCTGAGGATGCAGGGGAACTGTGCGCCTAGGGAGCTAACCTGCTGCAGCAGACGGGTTGGGATGGGGGTGAGGAGTGGCTCACATCTTAATTCTAGCTCAGAATTTTTACTGCTCGTGACATCTTGAGCAAATTTCCAATGTCCCAAGAGTTTCCCCTGTGCTTCTATGGAACCTAAACCAGGGGCAAGATATACAGCGCTATCCTTTACCACAGTAGTTTCAGGGGCCTGCAGGGAACCAATCTAAAAACAACACTGTAGTTGGGTAGGGGGAGTAAAATGAGAGTAGGGGTACGTTCACTTACTGAGAGTATGTTTTCCTAATTGTTTACTGGTTATTTTTATTAGTCTTTATAATACCTAATTGATTAAACCTTATCTTAGTAGGCATGTATAAGAAAAAGACATAGCATCTATAGGGTTCAATATTTTCTGCAGTTTCTTAAAATGGACAAAATTGAGCTACTAATGCATAGTCATAAACAACAAAATTTCTTCTTTCTTCACGCTCTTCTCTATATCAATAACTTTTCTTTTCTCCTTACCATACCATGTTATTCAAATAGCGATGGGCACAGACAAATTCTCATCACACACCAATCATACATAAGAGAATGGCATAAACTACATAAAGCAGGGACTTTCAATCTGCTTTTCACAAACAGATTCCTCTGATAGAACCTAGTGGGTTCATGAGCTTTGGTGGGAAAATTACACCTTTAAATTACTAACTTCCAATTACAATTTAGCCCCCTTTTCCATTATGAATGTAGGCAACAATCTCATCCCTGATCCAATATTGTGACAGCATTCAACCTGACACCAGGTACGTATGCCATCAAGCTCACTACAGAGAAGCTCTTGTTTGATTCCATTTCAACACTGCATTTCATAAGCATTGTTTCAATACAATCTTTCGTTCCTAACTATCCATTACATTAAATATTTAACATGGATTTTTGTTGTGTGTGGGTGTGCAAGCATGTGTGCCGCTGTGTACACGTGGAGGTCTGCGGCTAACTGGAAGGAATTAGCTCTCTCTTTCCACCACATAGGCTCTGGAGATCAAACGCAGGCCATCAGGCTTGTTGGCAAGTGCCTTTACCTGCTGAGCCATCTCGCCATCTGTAGCATATGTTCTGCTCTACATCCCACTCCCCAAGATGCATAAGTTCTCTTGGTTGCCAGTGCCCTTTCTTGCCATTTCAGTCAACCTCATGATTACATGCCATTTAAAACTACGGCTAAACATGCCCTCTTGGAAATTCAGTACTCTAGTCCTCCAAAGACACGGGTTTTTACTGTTTGATATTCGACACACTTTACGAAGACTGTGCATTTCCACCTCAGTTTGTGCCACAGAGTCACAGAGTAGGAACAGCCTCTGCTTGGCACTTCTGGATAGTTAGCATACTTCAGGTATGAATTTTAGAACAAAACTAGGCTGTGTGGAGATATCTTGATAATCTATGTGATGGACCCAGGACACATAACTTCATTTTTCTGGTTGCCAGATTCCTTACGTGCAAGATGGTGACCTTATACGTGCATTCACAGGACTTATTATATGTTAAATGTGATAATGCATGGAAAGTGCTTATCCCCATCTACGATACAGGAAGCCTCCACTAAGCTCTGGCTGTCATCACTATCTTGGAAAATAATCCTCTTCCCGTAGAAGCAGGAGAAGGCTGATGACATGTGTGGAAAGGATCAATGTAATTCCCGGGGGCATAAAGGCACGGGTTTGTGTTTCAGTTTAAAAAAAAAATGTACAAAATGGGATGAGCTTAGGGGATTTATATAGCATTTTGTATTTACTTAATGCTTGCCTCAAAACTCATTCTGCCTGGGTAAAAGCTAAAATGTGAATATCCTAATTACAGATAAACTAAATAAGGACAAAATTAATGACAGCCACTTTGTCCTGCCTTGAAATTTCAGCATGACCTCTGAACATCAGAAGGATAATGAGAAGACCCTCTTACTCAAGTTCTGAGATTTAGGATTCATTTTCCTGGAAGTCAGATGCTTCACTGCTAATCTTAAGAGTCTGAATTGCTTTGGCCACGTTTCATTTAACAGCCCACTGGTCACAGATTACACTTTAGACTGTCTTAGGAATCCAGATACATTGGCACAGAAGCCTCAGCCCCCACACCTAAGAGGCTTACAGAATTCTTCCTCCAGCAAAGTGGATGCTCAGCTTACTTCTTAATTGGGTTGCCTGAAATCCAAGACCCCAAAGGATAATGAAATGCAAGCCAAAGTTGGTGACTGAAACTCAAAACTCATCTCTGTCCTTCTCCATATGGACTCCCAGTGCATAATGCAGGCCCTGTTATTAGAGTACAGTGGAGAAGCTGCTGACAGCAGTTTCCCCTGGAAAGCAAGAGTCCCTGATTTATTAAGTGCAGACAAATAATATCCACACTTGGATTTGAAAAACTGAAAATAGATGAACTGGGGATGGAAAAGTAAAACCAATATTGTTGTCTCTTGGCAGACACACGCCCTGGGTTCCTACTTCCGATCATAGCATCCAAGGAACTCTAGCCATGTTCAGTGCTACAAAGTTATCTGACATTCATATCCTTGATGTGCTCTGATGACTACCTGGAGAACCTCTATCTTTTCTTACTTCTGAATTACCACTACTCTTGTCTGAAACTTTGCCTGGTGCCTGAGCATTAGCCTCCAGGATAACATTTCAGCACATCCAGATGTTCAAAGTAACATCCACCATTCAATATTCCCTTAGCATGCACCAAGATTTTTTTCAGCCATGGTGTTTGGCCACTATCATTCAAAATTGGACTCACTGTTGACTCTTCTACTAAATAAGATGTTCTTAGATGTCACTGGCAGCATCTATAGACAGTTCAATGAAATAACAACAATTTGGAAAACTCTACTGGCTTCTTTTGGATAGAGGCAAAGGACACAGAGCAAGATAAGATAAACTAGGAGGCAAGCTTTGGGGCTGAGACAACCTTGTTCAATTGCAAACACGACATCAGCAAGTGCTGGCATGTCACTAGTACTAAAAGTATGAATGAAGGAACAAATAAATAATTGATTTTCTTGCTACTATCATACATACAGCTTCAGTATAATGAGGGTGTGCTACATTATGGAAGGAGGGCAGACTTCAGAATGACAGAAACCAGTTCAAATCTGTTCATCAGTTACTAGTTCAACTTGCATAAGCCATTAGCTCAGTGAACCATGTTCATCTGTAAAATGAAGCTAATATTTTTTTTCTAAATCAGAAAAAAAAATGTGTTCAATACCTTGTGAGTTCTAGGCTCCTGATACCTTTCTGAGTATACACTAGTGACTAGCCTGAAAATGGAGGTGGTTCCGATCTGGTTATGACAGATCAAGAAAACATGTCATAAACTGCTTGTATTATTAGAATGAATTAGAGGAAAACAAGAATAAAACTGAGAGGTTGATAAGAAAGGCACTGAAACCTTACAGGCAGGAGGTGATGATGGTATAGACAGGGTGCTCATAGTGGGAGGGAGAGAGAGCTTGGATGCCATGTGGAGAAGAACTAGCAATCGTCTTTCCTGGTGGGTTCTGTTCAGGTGTGAGGGGGAACCATTCATGATATCTAAATGTACATGTAGGAGAATGATGATGGTCATTTTAAAACAGGGCATGACTTGGCTGCTGAGAAGAAATACAAAACAGAGTTTCACATGTGCTCTAGATTTAAGACTTCTGACAGGCATCTTTAAAGGAGGCAGATTGGGATTGTGCCTATCTTATTTGTTGTTATATCTCCAGATGCTAAAATGGTTCCTGGTACATAAGACAATCTTTTTATTCACTGAATAAGTGAATAAATGGATTGATAATGGGTAGATGGATATGCTGTCAACCAAAGGAGAGTTTTTGCCAAACATTCATTATGCGTGGTATGTGTGCACATATACATTTGTGTGTTACGTGCACATACATACAAGTATGTACATGTGAGTACAGAGGCCAGAAATCAAGGCTGAGTGTCTTCATCAGTTACACTCTACATTTTATTTCTTTTCTTTTTCTTCCTTCCCTCATTCCCCCCTTTTTTCCTTAAGACAAAGTATGTAAGTAAAGAGCAAATGCTTTCCTGTGTTGGTCCCTTAATAATCTGTTTCTCCACGTGGCTGCTTTTGTGCATGAGTAGTGTGCCACTTACTAGGCACTGTCCCCTAGTGAGCACAGGCTCCTCAGCTGCAACAGACTCATCCCAACCAAGCCTGGGAGGTCAGTACTAGTAAGATTCTCACTTCATTGGCAATGACATAGAGACACAGGGAGGTCATGTTGGGGTACTTGGAGTCATACAGAACCCAAGAAAGGAAGTCAGTTCTAACTCCCATGACTATTGCCTAATTCTACTACCTGGAAAGACAAAGGGCTACAGATCTGAAGGGATCCAGGCGGATAGATTCAAAATCTAGCCACTGTGTAGTTCTCTGTTGCTGTTTTTTAATCTTAATAAGCTTCAGGATCTTCATCAGTATGTGGTTACAATGAATACCTCAAGTCTCATACCTTGATTCTGATAGCTTCCTACCATGTACAATCGCATGGCATTTGCTTTTGTAGAAGGAAAAAGTGGGCCCATATCTCCCTAGGGAACTGAGTTGGCATGGGATACTTCAAAACATATTCAAACCTGCTCAAATAACTCTTACTGTTAATGACAAATTATTTAAGTTCTGATCATCAGCACTCCTTCTGATATTCATTTTCCTGTAAGAAAGCAGACTGTGGGAGATGGGGCAATCCAATTCTCTAATTAGCAGCTATTGTATTGTCGACAGCTCCCCTAGCTGTCGTGAGCAAAAACTGTCAGTCAAACAGCTAGCCAGAATACCCTCATGCTCCTGCCAGACGTCTTGAACTGTCCACGG